CGTCATTATCCCCCCCCCACCCCCCCCACCCACCCAAGAAAAAAGTCCAAAATCAAGAGGTCGAGTTAGCAAACTCGGCAAGTGGATTTCGAGGCTCTTATGATGATCATACATGCCGAAAGTGCCGTAAATACCGAGTAAAACGGATGTGCTCTTAACATGGTTTTAAGCAAGTGTAGTTGGTAGGGGGGGGGGCGCCTACTACTACCTCTACCACTACGACGACGACTATTTCTACACGAGGACAAGGCAACCACGACGACCACGACTGCAACATGACCCCTGCGTGCCAAGTCGTCTCTGTGTTTCTTTTGCCGGCTTTCGCTCCCTACTGTGTATTCGGACCACTGCAGCAAGTCCACACGCTGCTTGTTTTCAACCCTAAATCCTGAAACACAACCTGAAGTCCTAAAGCCGTAAATCCTTCAAACTAGAACCTACAGCCCACAACATCAACACAAACTCCTGACGTCATCACCAAGAAACCCTAGAGAGCTGTAACGCCTTAGAATAAACTCAGTGAGAACAGCTTCGAAATGCCCCGAGGCATTCTTGTCTTCCTTCCTGGCTGGGACGATATCGACAGGACTGGGTGCTAGGGTCCCGGGGGTTGAAAGCCAACCCCCTGAGACACATGGCTTAAGGTGTAATATAGAAGCTCCAAAATTTCCCAACATGATTCTTTAGGGTTCTCTTTTTGAAGTTGTAGTAGTATACACTACACCACTTTTCTGATTGTTACGGCCCATTAATTTGGGCCTGGGCTTGGGGTTTGGGTTTAATGTCCTTTGGTTTGAGACGCTGGTGATGCTGTCTTCATGTCAAAGCCTTGGCTGAGTCCTGAGCCCCTACATGGACCCTAATGAAACAACCTACCTTCCGGGTTGTTTTTAGTATGACTTCTTAAACCCTAAACCCCAAACCCTAAACCCTAGACCCTTCATATAAGCTCTTCAACAAGGTAACCCCCGAACCTAGGGCCATCGAAACCTTCAGCCGAAGCCCCCCTAAAGCGTAGACCCTGAAGCCCTGGGCGAGATCTGGACCCCGAACACCCCCTCCCTTTTTGTTGAAGGACTTCTACAAAGAAGTCGTAAGAAGCAGCCCAAAGAGGGAGGATTTGGAGTCCAGCAAGGGGCTCAGGGTTCAACCACTTCAGATACCCTAAACCACTAAATCCTAAACCCTGAACCCTCAATCCTCAACCCCAAGCCCTAAACCCTGAATCAGATCAGGGTTCTCTTCAGGGTCTGCGGATCCGGAGAGCAGCGCACACTTTCTCAAAGGGTCCTAGGTACTGTTACGGCTGATACGTCCCCAAACCCTAATGGTAAGCTCCACTATAGAAACCCTACATTCTACGATTATAGGCTTGAAGCGTAAACTAAGCCCAAACTCCTGAACTCTAAACCCAATCCCCAAAGCCTGCACCCTGAACTCTACGAACCAGCAACCCAAACCCAAACCCACACCCATAACCTAAACCCTAAACCCTGTAAACCCTCCACCCAAGCCCACACCCACAACCCTACTATAAACTCTCTACCCAAACCCACACCCCAAAGCCTAAACCCAAACTCAAAGTCCTACACCCAATCCAAACTCACGCGGTAAAGCCTACCTGGACCCCAAATACCCCACCTTGTGAAGGACTTATAAGCCCCAAAAACATAGGTTGTTTGTGGTTCAAAAAACTTTAAAGCCCAAACAAAATAAACAAGAAACCCTAAGCCCTAAACTCAACAATAAGCCCTATAGACCCCAAAGTAAGCAATAACTCTTAAACTCTAAACCAAATACACAATAATCCCTGAACCCTAAACCCTAAAACCCTAAACCCCCTAAACCCCTAAACCCTAAACCCCTACTCGTAAACCCCTAAACCCCTAAACCCCTAAACCCTAAACCCCTAAAGCCCTGAACCCCAAAACCCTAAACCCCGGAACCCTAAACCCCGAAACCCTAAACCCCTAAACCCCTAAACTCCTGAAACCCTAAACCCCTATAAACCCCTAAACCCCTAAACCCTAAACCCCTATAAAC